TAAAAAAATCAAAGTGAAACTAGCAAGTTTTGGGATAAATTTCGGAAGAACGCTTTTTTAAAATGGTTACGCTGACAAAAAACCTTTTCCGGAGGAAAGGGTGATGGTTTTCTTTGTTTAATTTGACTTTAGAATGAAAGGCGAGAGGTCATTAAAATTCTAAAAAACTAAAACTCCGCACTGAACGTACCCGAACTGCTGATGAACAGCAGTCGATCTGCGCACGCAAGGAGGTGCTATTCCTATTCCTTTTCTGGAAAAACGAAAGAGAGCTTCAAAACAGACTGCAGCGCCATCTGAAGCAAAGAGCATACTTCCTGCGGACACTTTTTTGGCTGAGTGGCCCATCTTGTTATGTACTATCTTTGCTAGGAGTAGCAGTAGAAAGAGAATAAAGGGGCGGGAACCAAAGGAAGTCTAGGGATTGAGAGAAGGGAGGAGTGGAGAAGGAATCAGATCACAGAACAGGACAAGAAAAACAGGAAAGGAGAGGAAAGGATAGCGTGATATTTGGAGAAGGAAGTTTTTTCGTGGCCGTCAGGTTTCGATTCCGGTACCTTTTGAATGAGAGGAGAGTACTGTATACCTCTAGACCATGAGAGCTGTAAAGAATTGTTGGTGTGTGCATAATATTTTTGCTCATCGGACAGAATGATCCGAACACTCACGGTTACCTCTGTTCAGTTCATGTTCATCTACTGGTGTCTGTTTTTTCGTGTGTTTTTTCGTAATTACACATGTTTTTATAAATAATAACAATTGCACACAAACATTTATAGTTTAACATGCACATAGCGAACATGCACCAAGAGAAGAACGCACAGAACAAAGCAAATTTTCAGGTCCTGAATTTTTGTTATACATGTATTTATTTTATTTTAATTCAGAACATGCACATAGCGTAATCAGTAAAGTTTATATGACGTAGCTAAACGAATTGGCGTCAGTGAGAGTAGATCTAAGGGGCCGTTCAAATATAATATTACGCCTGGGAGGGGGGGGGGGGTCTTTGGCCCCTGTAAGAAAAGTGTAAGAAAGGGGGGGGGGGGGTCTTTGGCCCCTGTAAGAAAAGTGTAAGAAAGGGGGGGGGGGGTCTTGAACTAATGTAATATTACACTTTTGTTACGTGAAAAAATATTTTCGACAAAATGATGAACTCTGCATTTGTGGGTGATAACTAATTTCTCTTTTTCTCAGCATAAATAATCAGTAATAACAGAGACACAGTGGAATCCTGATAAAGTCAACTCTTGCTTTTTTTGTCCCGTTTCTTACCTTCTTTGTTTAAGTTTAAGTTATTGTGTTTCTGATACAGTCAACCGCTTGAGTGTTAACATTTCGTAAAGTCAACAATTTGTGGCTAAATCCTAAGAGGAATTCATTCAAGAAGAGATATTTCGCCTGAGCAAGTGGTGTACACACCTCCAATTACATATTATGTACTTTGTTCTTTCATTTTCTCTTGCTTTGGTGACAACTTCAGAATTATACTCCCTGAAATTGAAATTACATCTTGTTTGTTACCAGGTACTTTGTAATTTTGTAGCTGTCATCTTCAATGTTCAATGGCCAGTAGTACAATAGATAAAGTCAACCTTGCTCAAAGTCTACACTTTTGTTCTGTCCGGGGTGTTGACTTTATCAGAATTCCACTGTAACTTTTAAAAAAATAATTAAAGCGCTTTTGTCATAGACATGAGTCTCAATTTTTTCCTTTTTATTAGTAAGACAGAGTGTGTATGCAATATTTTCCTTGAATGATTTACTCTAATTGTGAGGCAGAGTGGTGAAATCAGGCGCTCGTCAAAATAATGAAAGTGAAAAAAAAATGGCACTAATCCGCAGGTTTGGGAACTTTTATTGACTTTTTTTTCGCGTTAAAAACTTTTTACGTCCATACTGAAAAACATTCATTACATGCATAAAATTTGTGATTTTTCAGTTTTAAAGGCTCTCAAGCTATTGAAGTTATCAAACTTTGGCGGCCGTTTTCTCACGAAACTTGCCTCTGAAATCAGGTGACCCCACCTCCTTCAATCACAAATATTTCGACTTCTTTTCAGCATAAATGAATACTGTTTTCATCAAAAGGAAGACAAATGGACAGGCTTTAAGATGATATCAATAACTCTGTATGCCTCAAAATCAAAACTGACGAGCGCTTGATCCCACCATGTCGTGACACCTATTATTTTTTAGTGCATATATTATTATATATTATGTGCATACATATGTGTGTATGCATGTTTTTCATGAACATTATGCAATGCGCTTAGAGCAATGATTGTTTTACGGATTTGCGCGATATAAATGTCATATTATTTTTAGCATTATAAGCAGACAATGTAAAATATTACGGGGGGGGGTAAGGGCAAATGGAGGAAGGGGTATATTGCCCACTAAAGGAAAACACTTTTTGTATAAATAACAAACCGCATTTTCCCCTTGTAAGTGTAACCTATTCTGACAATAAAAGCCGTAAAAAAACAAAAGTATTTTA